ATATATATTCTCTGCATGATCCAAAATATTTGGTGGCCCCAAAAAACTCTCTTTAAAATTCAGCAGCTTATCAAAAATTAAAACCATATTCTATTTAAAATGAAGATCTGTTAGCACAGAGTTAGACTTCAAGAAATATCAATTTAGTACAGTTTGAGAAGTTGCAGGAGGATATATTTGAAGGACACATTCTAACATAGTGTGGCAGGTACAGGAAACATCAGATTTAAAGCTTTTAAGCATAACTCATACAACCTAAGTTGTCAGCAGAAAGATCCAGTTATTTATAACTAAAGCTAAAACTACTAAATTATTGCACCCAATGTTAACATGAATATTAATTGTAAAACTGCTTTATAATATGAAGTGAAGTCATTAACCACGTTTAAACATCTCTTCTCACAGATGATAATCTATTAAGTAAAATTAATTACAGTATTGTCTAATTATTATCTCCATAAAAATCATCCAATCTTAATTTGGTTATATATCCACATAGGAAAACATCAATAAGGTAATACGGGGAAAGTACAGTAAAACCCCTTTATGAGGCTGGTATTAGGAGGGGACAAACACTGCCTTATAGGCTAACCATGTTATAGTAAGCTTTGAGGAAGATAATTAGATTTGCAAAACAACTAACTCTGCATAATACCAAGCCATAGTAAAAGGGGACTCTACGGTAGATGAACAAAAATTTTAACAAAAGGGAAAATACTATTTTCCTAATTAGTGATACAGTGCTTGGCAAATAAATTTGGTTTGGTTTTAAAATGTACAAGAGGTGAAAAAAGCATTCACCGTTTTAACTTCCCTCAAAATCATGCATACATTTTTTTTTTAAAAAACAATACATTCTGGGATACAAATCACAATAAAGTTGCTATAATTAAATGTGTACCTTAAAATTAATATGTATAATAATTAGGCATAAAGATAAAGAATCCTCTACATATAAGTAATACCAATGGGGGAAAGGTCTAAATAATAAGATTGAAAAAATGAGTCACAAGTCACCTGGAAAGTGTACAAGTGAATGACTTTTATGTAAAATTTAAGAGGCATTAGAAATATCTCCATATTTAATACAGTATGAAATGTACTAAGGTATACAATGCTCTTGCATGGTATAATTACTAGATGATATTGTTACACAGCTCTTTATTGATCTGATTTTTCAACTAGATTATCCCTTAATCTGAAGACCACAGTTTTAAGATTCCAAGGCCTACACTTCAATAACAGTACTAGTAGCAACAGTTAGTGTTTTCCCCCTTGTAATATTTGCAAAAAGACATAAACAAAAACACCTCATTAAGCAAAGCCGTGTGTATTTTATTTTAAGTACTACTAAAGAAGGATTTAAATTGCAGTTATGCATGGTACTCTTCTCTTGGGAAGAGTGTCTTTTGCACCGTTATCTGTTAATACATTCAATATGAATAATATAGATTATATGAAGCAAAAAACCCACTTTTTTCTTTATAGCAAAGGACTAAAGTTAAATTTAGACTAAAGGGCTTAAGATATAATTAGTTTAGTTCTGGCATTTCAGCTATGCAGGGTAATTTAATACAGGACAAAAAAAATCCATTTTCCTATCTTGAGGGTTTGGTGAAAAGGAGGACCAAATTGAACTCTCTCTCAAGGTAAACCTGCATGCAAAAGGCTTGCCAGGAGGGATCTTGCCACCCTAGTCTGCTAGAATAAGGATTGGAAAATCCGACTAAATGCAAAAATTCTTAATGAAATACACTAAAAAACAAATTAAGTATGATGACCCCTTATAAGCATATGTCACCAAAGCAAAAAGGATACAAGAGTATTCACCTGAGATAAAACTTGTATCTGAATATTCCATAACTGAGTAGACAAAGCATTTCAATAGAGGAAAGTCAGTTGAAATTATTTTAAAATATACATCTGATCCTATTTTACAATATATGCAATTTAAGCAATTCAGATCAATGAAAAAGTCTTAACAAAAAAAATCACAGTGTTTATCAATATGTTAATTACAAAATGTAGGCTACTTATTTCGTTTTTAAGATGTAATGGCTTGGTTAAGTGTCTTAAAATCTATTCTTCTGAAACCTAACTTGCGTCACAAAATCAAGTAGCAATAATGTAAAGCATCAGAACTGGCTCTTAAAGATTATTTACACGTTGATTATTTGGGAAATAACCAACTAAAAAATATAAAAAAGTGATTTTTTTACACAGTATGAAGTTATTAAAGAGATTAGACAATACAAAAAGCAAAATTCTTTCCTGAATAAATGAATTCTGTGGCACTAAGTTCACCTGCTAATGGACTGACTACAACACTGAACTGCCAAACATGCATTTAAATTATATTAAATACACTTTCTGTTTCCAACTTAGGTTGATCAGCAGCTTTTGTTCTGTTAGAATCCTTCAAAGAGAGAAGCTCGAACAGGAAAAAGAAGGCATATATAAAACAGTAAACACTGACCTCCTGAGGTTCCTACAACATAAAAATATTCAAGTAGAAAATCTACATCACTTAGCAGCGGCTATTTCTGTAGTTGAGCACACTAACAGCACTTTAGTGTGTAAGGAGCAGATGAAGTAAGCCGTGCTTTAAGCATGCCAAGAGGCAGAAACACTGGAATGTAACAAAGACAAACACAAGTTCATAGACATTCAGTCAACATTCAAAACTATTAAGACTACACCACAAGAATTAAGTTGCTTTATATATATCCCATGATGTATTAAGTTTTATCAGAATAATAAATGCTAAATCAGAGCTTACCTCAAAAGATAACTTAAATGGCTTCTGCAAATTCCTATGCTATACTATGTATCTGAAATATAAATTAGGGAGAAACAATAACCTCAAGGGGGGAAAAACACAAAAAAACCCAACCCAATCAGGTTGCCAGTCAGGTTTACTTAATTTTACTTTCTATTTTTAAATTAAATTTCCTTTTAATTTAAAAACAGTTAAGCAACTACAAAAATGGGCACATTCTTATGTTATCTGCTTAAGTGAAAACCAATTTTTAATCGAATAGGTGACAAATTGCTTTTCAGTCAATATAGAATTGTCAATCACAGGTCCAGATAACTTTAACGAAGGTTTTTTTTTTATGTTTGTTTTAGTAAAGTGTTTAGAGAAGAATTTTGCCATATCTTTTTGACTTAAATTTTACTTATTCCAGAACGCTAAGGTATCTCCCATATCAAATTCTAAAAAATATTTGAGAAACTATAGACAATCACTAGGATTTAAGGATAAAATAGCTACTTTAATCAGGTTTTGAAGACTATGAAGCAAATTTTGAGCTCCCAGTGAAGCAAGGTACTAGAAAGCAAAATGCTACATACCCTTTGGATCCAACTTATAATTAAAAAAAAAATCGGACATTGTAAAATAGGATTTAATTTCAGGCTCTACAGACTGAAATTTGCAAAGCCAAAGTAGAGGAAAAAAGGTGAAAGAACATGTTTAAAAAAATACACACATATATACACACACACACACACACACACACACACACTAACAAAAACCTTTTCTGCATGCTACCATGCATCTGAAATTTTTTGAAACGGTATTTTTAAATTCACACGCATACAGCTCAAACTTCAGTGCAATGGCTGTATCATTCAACACCTTTAGAAGAACAGAACCATGCAAAGAGGAGCAACTGCTTATAAAAATGGTTATTCAGGATTTATTCCGCAATGCAAAGGTGACAAACTAAAATATAAAAAGGTTGTTATGGCTTAACATTTTTGTTGCAGATTAAATATGCAGCATTGAAAAATGGAAAGGTGTTGGCTTCATCTCTGACCAGCAGAGTTAAAAAGAAAAATCTCTCCATTTTCCTTCATCATCATGGGATACACTGTTCAGGCAATCCAAATTAATAAAGACTTGCACTTTCATATGGACACAAGATCAAGTGTACCAGTTAGGTTTTCACATTCACAGTATATAAGAAAATACACATGGAAGGAAAAGTAAAGGGTTAACTTAACAAGGATTTATTCACAGGAATACATGTAAGTAGAGAAAAATAACAGAAAAGCTAAACAAATGAAATGAGGAGGATCCAAACCAACTTTCACTCTGTAGCTGTTTACTTGCACCCTGTGTGCATATATCTAGGGCACAGAGGGCCACCAACATGCGCCAATACAGTGTAGGAACCCTGCATTACATCCATTAACTTAAACATATCTTTAAGATCATGCTTTGAACAAAAAAAGAAAGCTTAGAAGGCAATATGTTGAGTGGGAATAAACATTGAAATATAGCAATCATGTCTTCAACTTCTACAATTGTCTTTATGTGCCGACTAACATTTATGCAGCCTCTTACAGATCTTTTACCATGTATTTTAAGTTTTAGCAGTTCTGATAACATCACTAGTAGTATATAACCATGCAGAAAGCACATCACACTGACAGCACATCGGCAAAGATTCTGCACAGGTATATCAGCTTTCCACTTTGTGCAGGTTACACACGATACAATATCAATCTTACTCCTAACAAGATCCTAAAAAGATATTTCAAGGCCTAGCTGTAAACTACAGTACTTTATATCTATATTCTTAATAAAAATAAAAAATCCACAAATCTTAAAAAGGAATTTTAAATGCAGGGCTATATTGAATTGGTAAACTGCAACACAAACTGGCGCAACAGAGGTAAATGAATACCAATCTCACTCTATGTGATGCAAGCATGCTACTTTCCCACTAATTTAAAGTACTTTCAATCACTATGAGCCAGAATGCATGCCTGAACCTTAAACTGCACTTTAAAAAGAACGTCTTGGCCTAGAAATTAAATCTAATGAAGTACAACCATCAAATTATATCCACTACATTAATGTTATAATGCAAAATCAAGATGTCAATCTTTAGTCTGATATGCCCAACCCCATTTATTCCTCCCTCCCTGCCCACCCCACAAAGGTAAAAGGAGTGACTCATTTGGCATTTCACAGGGTGCTTCATTGTTTAAATTTGTTTTGTTTTATTTCCAACTTTTTTTGGGGTACCTTAAATTGTAACTTCCAAGAACCTGCTTCTACTATGGGTAGGCAAGCTGATTTTAATTCTATTAGCTTCATTTGTGTAGTTCTTCATCAGCATGCAAAAACAAGGCCCCAACACGTGGGAAAATTTATAAAAATCTTTAAATTAAGGGGAAAAAAAAGCTTCTTTACTGTTTGTAACCCCCATTCTTAGGTTTCCTTTATTGTGCGCTACAGAATTTTTCCTCTTTCTTATTATCCCTATGCATCATTTATGTGGTTCTTGTTTTGGTACAATTCCCCATAATATTCCAGGATGTACTGTTTTGTGAGTAGACTGAATAGGTTTTGTTTTTGTTTTTTTGTGTTTTTGTTTTTTTTGTTTGTTTGTTTGTTTTTGCTTCTTCACATCCAGTGCGGAGTTGTAATTGGAGACAGATTTCCACCCACAAAGGCTCCAGATGTTAAAACGTTTCCCAACATCGACTTAATACAGTGACGGCAACACCTCCCTCCCGCCCCTCCCAGTAGGGTTGGGATTGTACTGTATTCCCTACTGGTTTACCCTTCCCCCCTGTAAAGGGTAACATTTTCCCTGGGTGCAGAGGCTCCCTCATAGTCTCCAAGACTGAAGGACCTGTAAGAAAACAAAACAAAACAATTTTATATTTTAACAATGGTTTCTCTTAAAGCCAGTGAACGCAAAATAAATCAAGTAAGAATGCTACCTCCAACTAGAGAAAATGAAAACTGGACAAATTACCGAAGATCATGCTAACAGTCAATGATAACCCATGTTGCTACCTTCCCCTATGGCTTTCGACAGTCATCTACATCAGATATGAAAAGTGACACCAAGCTGGGGACATGCAGAGAGATGTGTGGAGCACTACATTATACAGATGAAATTTAGGTGGCTGCCTTGTAGGACGCTATCAGTCTAATTTTTTATCCCCCTTAGAACAATGGGCCCCAATGGGAACTGGTTATTCTTCACTTAACAAGTTGCCTTACATTTTCAAAATCAAGTAACACTTTCTTTAAAATAATCCTTTACTTGGTGAGAATGAAAACATTATTTTTTTGCCAATATGTACAATATCAAGCAAACAAAAATTCGAATCCATCAAAAAATAAAAGAACATTACTTCCTGTTGGTTGTCTGGTGTTATAGCTTAGAAGGCAACTAAAGGTGTTCACACTGCACTAAGGTTACTACATTCAGTAAATAGCAAAAAGTAAAATTTAACAACTCCTTCTAGATGTTCCTTATTAATAATTCTTCTGATCCTATCCTACTCAGTCATTTCCTATGTTCTCAGACTTCTTGATTTTCCTATAAAGGACCTTTTCAACACTAGCAGTTTTAGTGATTCTGAGGCACATTAAGAAATAAAATTAGATCACTAGGATATTGTAACCAGTGCCTGACAGTGGTCATTTCACAACAAAAATCTACTGCCTACTCATGCCAAACACTGGACATAGATGAAGACTGATGTGAATTCAGAGGACGATTAGCCCATCTGTGGGAAAGTGCAAGCAGCACCTTTTCTCTGCCTCTGAAAAAAGGCAGGAATAGAAGATCGTGATCTACTTTTTACCTCTAATTAGAAAGCAGGTAATTATTTCATGCCTTGTTTCAGAACATGATCAACTCAATAAATTCATAATTGGTGTTATGATAAAGATCACAGAAGTTAATAAATCTGAAAGTGCTAAAGACTCTGCTCACTGTTGTATCTTTCAGGCCTTGATGTTAAGAGTCATTCCTCATCCATTACACTCTCATGATTTAACATAAAGACGATTAAGCACTATTTCAAAATGCTAAAGCCACAAAACAGCCAGAAGGTCTCAAAACTACAGGGGGGGCAATACACAAAGGGCTCTGAGATATTCCAGAGGCTGCGAGTCCATTTCTATTGCCTTGTAGGTTACACAGCATGTATGTGGAAATCTTCCCAGATTTAAAACCTAGCTCAAAGTAAGCAAGAGAGCAAACAAAACTCCAACAGAGAACATAATTAAATTTGGTGGCCATCTTCTGGACACACATTGAGTACACTCTCTGGCTCTCCAGTCAAGTGTGTCTCAGAGTTCATGTTCAAAACCTAAAGATTATCCTTGTTCACTGTACTGACCCATACTCCTAACATTTATTGAGCCAACTTAGTGTATTAGGTAATATACTAAGTTCTGGCATCACATATAGTTTACTATTTAATCTTCAAAGTAACTCAATGAAGGAACTGAAGCTATGAGATCAGGATTGTTAAAGTACAGAAAAACTGAAGGAACAAGAGTCCAAATGGATTTACCCCTCTACTACCCCAAATCCAAACAGACTCGTCCATTGTCCGTTTTAAAATACAGTGCAGGTCACATGGTAGGTGCTCAATAAAATACATGTTGAAAAACGAATATTAAATATTCCTATCTACTGAGCCCAAAACTAGTTGCAATTTTAGCGGGTTTTTCTCAAAAGCTCACAACATAGAAGTCCTTGATATATCAGAGATTATAAAACCACAATTCAAATAATGTTTACCCTGCCAAAGTGAATGTGGGTGACTTCTTATAGGGCAAAAATTTAAAAACTAGGATTAGTTTGTTGAGTAATCCAAATAGCATACTAATTTGGTTTTCTCTTTACTCAGGATTCAAAGTAGAACCATGTATTTTACCTTGCTTGCTAGTTTCTAAAAAAAAATTCTCTAGCTGTATGTAATTTTAAATTTCAAGTCTAATACTGCAGGAGTTTTATTTAACCTCTGTAGAAAACATACAGCTTTTATTCTACTCAGTAATTTCAGATTGCAGACCTAAGTTTCTTTACCCTGAAACTTCCCACAAACTTCTTACAACTTACCCCTAATTATGGGACTGCAGCTTAAGTGTATGAGATTAAACACCGTAAAAAGCTGCAAGACGCTCTTTTAAGGGAAGCGGAAACTGGTCAGAGAAACGCCTCCAATTTTCATCCCCAACTTGATTTTTAAATCCATGAAGGATCTGCAAAAAGTGAAAAAATCATTATTCATCACCAGGCAAGAGAAAAATTCCAATCTGCAGAGCTTCTGAAGTAAAACACTACTTACTGACTTTATTTTTCTAAAATTTTATCCATTTTAAATCAATCAGTAATTCTCAAACTTTGTTGGATTCTATATCACATGTCTTGCCTAAAAGCATCTCATAATATATTCTAAACCTTGCTTTTGAAAAGTTTAGAATTCAAGCAAGTGTCCTAGTAACAGATGTATGCGAAGCAAACTCCGACCTATCACTAATGGAAAACAAACAAAAAGGTACAGAATTCACCCAAGGGATAAATTTCTATGCCACATTAAGTTTTTTCAAATTGGAAACATACAAAACTTTAAGTTCATGTCTGCAACCACAGTTGACTAATTTTAATATCAGAGGGTTCAAATGGGTAACAACATTTTATTTCTTATTTTGTTATGATTCAGTACTGACTGGAATTAATCCAAAGGGACACTACTAAAACAAAGAACTATATAGATTTAATCCCTGTGGAAACCACTTCAGATTTACTTTGTTCAACAGTTTACATTATACTCCAAATCTCAGTCAGCCATCTTTGAAAATACATGCTATTTTGGAGAGGTGGGATAATGGGATCACATGAATCAGTGGTATTGCTTGAGAAAATATCTTTCACAAGTGTGTCCCCTACTGATACGGACTCACTGTTGTACCTTAAGAAAAGACCAAGCCAACTTCTTTGCCAAGAACAAGGGATATGGATATGTATGTGTGTGTGTATATATATATACATATGATCTACCAATACTGATTTGAAGCAGAGTCTAAGTTTCATATGAAATATAAAAATAATTTAAACTTTCCAACTAGTATTGTAATAGTCCCAAGATATTTATCATCAAGACTTTATGGTTACCTTACCTTACAGAACATGTCTCTCAGATCATCTTTTGGGTTAATCCACGATGCAACAGCATCACAAAAAAATATAAAATCCTGTAACAAGCAGGAAATACACCTTAGACCGCTACTTGTCAAACACAGCAAAATGTACCTATCATGATAGAATCCTACCTCAAAAAAACCATTTTTTATTTTTTTAAAAATTTTATTTTATTATGTTATGTTAATCACCATACATCATTAGTTCTTGATGTAGTGTTCCATGATTCATTATTTGCGTATAACACCCAGTGCTCCGTTCAATACATGCCCTCTTTAATACCCATCACCAGGCTAACCCATCCCCCACCCTCCTCCCCTCTAGAACCCTCAGTTTGTTTCTTAGAGTCCATAGTCTCTCATGGTTCATGTCTCCCTCCAATTCCCCCCCCTTCATTTTTCCCTTCCTACTATCTTCTTTTTAACATATAATGTATTATTTGTTTCAGAGGTACAGGTCTGTGATTCAACAATCTTACACACAATTTACAGTGCTCACCATAGCACATACCCTCCCCAATGTCTATCACCCGGTCACCCCATCCCTCCCATCACTGCAGCAACCCTCAGTTTGTTTCCTGAGATTAAGAATTCCTCATATTAGTGAGATCATATGATACATGTCTTTCTGATTGACTTATTGTGAAGAGGTCAATGCTACCTAGAGCAATCTACACATTTTAATGCAATCCCTATCAAAATACCATCAACTTTTTTCAAAGAAATGGAACAAATAATCCTAAAATTTGTATGGAACCAGAAAAGACCCCGAATAGCCAAAGGAATGTTGAAAAAGAAAAGCAAAGCTGGTGGCATCACAATTCTGGACTTCAAGCTCTATTACAAAGCTGTAACCATTTTTTAAAAAATCAACTATGATAAGGAATTATAAAATAATGGCTGTCCCTATTATTTCACCATCAAGGAACCTCTACTCATTGTTTATATTGGAATGTGCTTTTGTATTTCTTTTTACATCACAGAGCCCCAGTCTAGTAAATATTTAGCACCAACAACGGAATGAAAGTACCAAATGAGCACCAATTTTAAAAACCTTCATTTGCTGAAATAAAGAAATACATAAATTCAATAATCTCACAGTTCTGACTGGCCTAGAAATAATTTAAAGCTAAGTATATGCCAAATAAGCTTGATTTAAATTTTTCAGTTTCAGACTGAAACTTAAAATGACCAAAAGCTAGAAGGAAAAACTAATTACGTAGTTATAATTAATACCTAACTCAACCCAACCCAGTGCAAACAAAAAAACCCAATGCTCAATTACTAGAAAAAACTGGCTTATTCTCACTACAAGAACAAGGTGACAAAAGGTATATACTTTAAATGTTTAAGTATTTTTCAATCTTGACTATCATACTGAAACAGCAGTTCAATACAGAGCATTTAAGATGCTGCTTATGTTCTGATATGTCAACTATTTAAAATTTTACTAAAGTCAGAGAACTTTCTTAATTTCAAAATTTACTGAAGTATGTGCATAAAACACGTATTTAAGCAAATAAAATTCCAAATGCCTGAGGTTCATGGTTTATTCGAATTGATTCCTTGTCTTCCAATATCAAAGTCTGATGTTAAAAATTTAAATATACACATATCTACAATTTGTGATTAAAAATTTAAACATAAAAAATAAAACTTAAGATATTTTCTTTTAACCACATCCAAATAAAATATGTAAAAAGCAGAGATTTCTACCAACCCTTAAGTTGGTAGTGATTTAGTGACCACATACATATGTGTTACTTACTTTCACGGTCTTAAATGTTAATTCAAAAACAAACAATAAAATCCTGATGGGAAAATGCTTCTTAATATACATTGTATCAGATAACTCTAAAACACATTTAAGATGACACAAACTTCTTAAGTATTGAAAAAACCAGAAACTTAATTCCAGGAATTTATTTTGCAACTAGGAACTATTTCCAAAGATAGTACCGGCCTGTTTTCATACTAAGCTATTGTTTTACAAATGTGAAATTAGTCAAAAGATTTTTTCCATTTCTAATTTATAAGTTTTCAATGCCTATCACAACATTAATTTGAGTTTTATAGCTGGTAATTAATAATATTTCTAAACAAATTAACAACACAATCATTAACACAAGACAGGAGGTATCAAAGATACTAATTAAAAGTAATGTTCAAAGCATGTACCTCCTGGAAACGAAAGGCTATTTTCTTGAAAATACCTCCCATACTTTCTTTTCCTTACAATTCATCTGCTGAGCAACCTGGGATACTTAACCTAGAGTTCCACCTCCTGCATTTTGTTGATTTCATACACACGAGGTCAATCAACATGTTCCTCTGTTCTGTGTGTCTTGCAATTTGACACTTGGATCCAGAGGTTATCAGACTCATATATGGTACTTTTGCCAAATAATTTTTTTAAATGCTAAAAATGTCCAGATACTATCTAAACAAAGACAGGAAACAAAGAGAAATAAATCCTAAACTCTCCAAGTTAAAGTATTTTCATTGGTTAATTCAGTATTCTGAATACTGGAAAAAATATTTTTTTTAAGATTTTATTTATTTATTTGACAGAGAGAGACACAGCCAGAGAGGGAACACAAGCAGGGGGAGTGGGAGAGGGAGAAGCAGGCTTCCCGCAGAGCAGGGAGCCCGATGTGTGGCTCAATCCCAGGACCCTGAGATTATGACCTCAGCAGAAGGCAGACGCTTAACGACTGAGCCACCCACGTGCCCCCACTACTTAGAATTTTTAAGTTTAATTCTAAATAAGAGAAAGTAACCTACTACTTGGGTCACTCTCTTAAGTGTAGATATCTGGAAATTCAACAAACTGATACTCAATGAAAGGAGGCATGTACAAAGTGAATGTGGATGAAAGATGCTCTGGCTTAATTCAAGGCAAGAATATAACTTCAATATACTAATGTGCTATTTACTTCATGACAAAAGAAGATTTAGGGAGTCATAAACAAGCATTATCATTTCAAAATATTAAGAAGTCTACAACTTTTTAAAAACAATTCTTTATCTTTCAAAAAATATGTAATATATATGATACTTTCATAATTAAAATGTTAAAATAATTCACCCTTTAAAGTTTCATTATTCAGAACATTAAAAGTTAAAAAATCTTTGTGACATCTTACTTGGATTACTCCACTGGGATTCACACTGATCATGGTACAAATCCCACGAAATGCTGAATCCTTTTCCTCATTGTCCCTTATGTTTCTCAGAGAGGTGCACCTATTAAATTATAGAACTGAGATTAGCATTTAAGTAAAAAGCAGGTTTAATCACAATACTAATGGACAGTATTTAATGGAATAAGCACCACAGTATAGATAATGTTTAAATTCAAAGAATTTTCATAATAAGCTTTCTCATTCTTCCTGCATGTTTGGCCCATCTAATCTCAATATAGTGGAAGCCTTGAAATTCACATTTTCTTATTAATAGATTGCATCTATAAAATGGACAGCTGATTTTAATCTCCCATTTAAAGTATTAATGAGGTTGAGCCAAAAGTAAATTACGAATTTTTAAAACTGTATTATGACTTGTATTCCATTAAACACTACTAAAAATGACTTGAATTGAAAGATTATCAATTGAAAGAAGCAGAACATAGGATTTACTGCCACAATATAAACTATTATTACACAACTTATGGTGTAGATGTTTAACTTTAACATTAACAAGCAAATAAGGTTTTTATACATAACGTAATTTAAACATGTATTTCTTAATGCAATCCAAGTTTTCAAATTAATTCTAAAAAAGAAACAGTGCAAAAACCTAAATTTATAGAATTTGCATGCATCTTTATTTAACTGGTGGATATTTAAATGCTTTTCATGTATAATCAAGCTTTTTAACACAGCAAGCATGTGACAATCTTATCCCATGCATCAATTAGTCGTTAGCCACAACATAAAATAAATATACATGACGATGCTACTGAAAAACCTCACAAACCTGCTAGGACAAGATTAGTCACATGGTTGGCAATGATTAAGGATTGTGATTTTTGTAACCAACTGAAAATATATCTAAAAGTGAGATAGAAAGAGAAAGAAAGAGTGAAGAAAAATGAATTAAAAAAAAAAGATTGAATAATACACACCAGGGTCTTATAAACTGCTGTAGCATGGGGGCCACCTCTTGAGGACAAACGTAACCAAGACGACCAATTGTTATTGCTAAGGTAACGCAATCACGGTTATACACCACCAAACGCCAACCAAGACATGAGCAAATGAGGGGGAAGGAGAAAAAATAAAGAAAAAACAACAAATAACTCAGAAACAGAAACCAACAGAATTTGTGTATGATAATAAACATAAGATTTCACCAGTGCTGTTTATTACCACCCCCTAAAATAAGGGGCAGCAACATATATGGCATACTCTTGGAAAAAGGAAAACAAAAGAGAATTAAAAAAACTTTAAAGGTTGAGAGAACACCAAAAACCATGATGAATTGCTTTTCTCGCTCAATCAAGTAAGAAGATATTCTGTTAATAAAAAGATGAGCGATTAAATGCATGGATTTAGAGATTCTCCATTCAAAGCCAGTTGAAATTTCATAATTTAATAATGAAATCTATGTTTTTCCCCCAAGAAATATTAGTAAATGTGAATGATTACATTTCTGAATTGTTTACTCAAACACAGTTCTCAGAAGTTAAAACAGTTAAAATTACTTCTCTATGTCTTTTTAAATAAGTGATTTCCAATCTTTCAAAATCAACTAGGAATTTAATCGCAATTTAGGTAGTTTTGTTTGTTAACATTTCTAGTGGACCATTTGTTGCCTGATATCAAAATCAACCATCAAATTTTAGGTGTTGCAGTATGCAACGAATGAATGAATTAGAAAATTGCTGTGCTGTGTCAATTCCATTCCAATTAACCTCTGATGGTGATGATAATGGTAACAACTCGGATAACAGCCCACTAATTTCACAAACCATAATTGACATGAAGGAAATTTACAGTCCACTGTAATGATGTGAAATGTGGACGAAAGGAACAAATAATCTGTCTTTGCTATATAAAAGGCATAGCACAAAATAGATGAAACATTATACTGATCACATGCTAATATTTTACTTAAAAATTTCGCAGTGGGAATTACTCAAACATATTCACCATCAAAATTCATTCAGGAAGTCCTTAAACTTACGAAGAGCTAAAAGAAGTTGCAACTCAGAACTGCATTCTGCAATTCAAAGGTACATACATATAAATACATTTATACACAACGGGAAAAAAAATACAAACAGAAAACAAACCATAAGGTGCTTTAATGGTGTTCTCTCAAAAACTTACAGGCTAACCTTTCATAAAAAAAGGGTGGGGGGGGGTAAAGAAAAATGTTTAAGGATTACTTGAAGCAAACTACACAGATAATACTAAAATCCAGCAGATTCATATGAAGCAAGAGAAAGAAAACCTATGTTCAAAAGACACAAACTATGCAACATTCTCATTAAACAGGCAAGTATGAACAATCCAATGAAACATGCGATAAAGCAGATGATGGTCCATTGAAAAAGTTCAGTGTAGGATATACTAATTGGAAAAAGAGCAAATAACTGCATACACTAAGGAATTGGCTTTATGAAATATTAAGAAAATGGTAATTAAGTTGCTAAAATCTACAGACATTAGCCATTGACAATGGTTTTATTTTTGTAATTAACATCCACCCGCCCCTTTTGGATAAGGAATACTGGAAACATTTTTTGCAGCCACTTGTGATAAGATTAATCCAGTGAATCCCAAGTGTTTTTCAATCATATCAATTTAATCTGTCAACTTGATGGGCATTATCAACTACTTTTTGGTTTAGAGTAGAATCATACTTAGAATATAAACTTATAAAGCCAATTTGTTAAAGGAATTGTCTAACAAATTCAGAAGCTGATATCCCACAAGAAACTTTAATATACATTACATTCAACATTTATCTGCAGTTATGCATTCACATTTAAAAATAAATAGGAAATTTCTTTAGGTTCAACAGTAATTTTATAATGGCAGGTGTTCCAAATCTGAATGTCATGTATAGGTACTGCATTCTAAAGAGATAAAAACCTGACAAGATTTCATAACCATCCTAATATACAGATTTTTGTACTTTTCAGCAAGAAAATCTAATTCACTTTATGATATAAACAGTACCCATACAGCCAAACAGCTATATAACTGTTTAATTAAAAGATTTCCTTCCATACCAATAAACATATCAACTTTAATCACATTAAAATATACACTTTCTATAATTAAAAAATATAAACTTAAAATGTCTTTGAAAACAAAGTTTTCTTATTTAGAAGACCTTATTTTAATCTTTGTCCAGTATTTCGGTAAAACCCTGACTATGAATATATTTACTGGAATTATCTTAGTTATATAAAGAAAAGGATGTGCCTGATTGAAAACAAAATTCACATCTTTTATCATTATTAACAAAAATCAGGGAGGGTGGAAAGAAATCACCCTGAAATGTGTTCTATAGTATGGAAGGTACTCTTTAATATCAACATGCTCTCTATAAATGCAAAAGAGAAACAAGCCTCCTGAATAAAAATCCCACAAGGTACTGCCTAAGTTCTCAATTTGAAGGAAAATATACAATGAAATACAAAATACACATGCCATTGTTAACCAATTAGCCCCTACACTGATGTCTATTTTTGGCCACAATTTTATAGATTAAAAAAAAAAAAATTACTTCCCAGCTGCCAGTTACTCTCTGAATTAACATAAAATTAAAATTCATATTGTTCAATAGTTATTTTAGCTAGGGTCCATTTGAGGGAGGATTAAAACACAGAATAGGGGAGAAGTGTTTATTTTAAAGTCTCTGAAAATTGGTTATGCAATACACTTAAAATAGTACATATCATTACTGAAATCTCAAACAGCTGTTAATGATAAGCTGGGTTTCTAAAGCTAGCTTTGCTTTGGTTTCTCTACGCATCTTAACTTTAAAAGGCAAATAGTTTTCTCTTCACCATAACAGTTCAGTCATATGGTACCTGTATTCTCTAACAACGTCTTTGGTGTGTTGGGTCTGTTAATGATTTCTACAAGCTGGTGCAACACCATAGGAATATAAGGCTGCATCTCTATACCTAAATCACCCCCAAAAGAGAAAACAAAAGAGAAAAATTTTAATGTTAAAATATGAACATAAAATACCTTGCTCCCTTTATTAACTGTGACATAGATTAATAATAAACATATACATATAAAACCCACTTAAGTTAAAGAGAAAAAGCAATTACAAAAATACTAAGGCATCTAAAAATTTACAGTGCTTTTAAAGGGGAGAAAGATCTTACCCATTTGAATGGAGATTTCTCCAATTGCCCATGTGGCATTATTGCAGACTGAAATGAACTCTGGATTTAGGTTGGTTCCCAGTATAGGCATGAAATCAGCTAGAAAAAAAATTTTTTAACAACTATGTAGTAAACTTTTCAACAGCAGTGTATTGTGCTTTAAAGGAAATCTACTAGGTGGAAACTGAAATCTAGCCAAGAAATAGCAAATTTTAAAAGGTTTCGATAATATTTAAAGTGAAAAAGGCATTATTTGGCCACTGAACTTTCTATGAAGTAGACCAGGAAACATAAGTTTTGGTCTATTTTAGGTATCATTAAAATGAGTTGGTCAGAGTAATAGCTCGTCTTCAGACGGAAAAAATTCAAATTAAAAATGAGGAAAACATGATACAACTTTCTTCAAAGCTAGTTTTTCACACACACAAATTTTTTTAAAAAATCAATGATTTTGGCTTTTAAAGTAACTTTGACCTTAGTGCTCAGATTATGGTCTCTAAATATCATTTTCCACTTAAAAGGAATGAAGAGGGCTCTGAGAGAAATGTCTCATTGCAGGCTAAAGGCAGGAAATGTACAAAACAAGCCTGGACTATTTTGTCATACCAGGAAGGACTAAGGAGCCAGTTTGATTAAGCTCCCACTGCCAGTGGTAGGACAATTTGAGCATCATGAATTCATACTGACACTCAAAAAAGAACCAAACACAAACAAAAACTGAACTCCGAAACACAATATAGGTACCTGTGGAAGATGCTGGGAATCAATTCATTATTTTGAAAACTGGTAAACAAAGAGAAAGAATCAAGTAATTATCCTGCCTCCCCTATATGGTTTGTACCTCACGGTAATAATACACTGGTATGAGAAACGTCTCTATGTATATATTCTCACTGTTAAATCAAGAATTAGAGTAGCATCTTTTTAAATCCCCAATAAGTTAGTAGATTTATTTTTTTAAAAGACTATTTATTTAAGAGAGAGTGAAAACGAGAGAGATCACAGAGGGAGAGGGAGAAGCTGACTGGCCGCTGAGCAGAGAGCCTGATGCACGGCTGGATCGTAGGACCCTGAGATAATGACCTGAGCTGAAGGCAGATGCTTTACCGAATGAGCCACCCAGGCGCCCCAAGTTAGTAGATTTAAGCCAGGGTTTCTAAATCTCAGCAATACTAATAATTTGGTCCAGATCATTCTGCCACTGTGGGGGGGCGGGGGCACATGAAGGGCACTGTATCACTCGTTTAATGTTTAGCAACGTTCTTTGCCTCTACCTACTAGGTACGAGTAACACACCCCCAGGGTTAAATGTCTCCAGACACTACCAAATGTTTGGGGTTGAAGGTGTTAAAATTGCCCCTGGTTGAAAAACCCTGATCTAGAAAATGATCATCACGGTTGATAACATAAAAAAACAAACAAAAAAACGATAAATAGACACAGTGTACCTCCTGAAGAAGATATACATGGTTTATAAAGTCTTAAAAAAGAAAAAGAAAATCCTTCATACAAGTTTAAATTCATAAAAACTACATCAGGTGGTAAGTATTGGTAGAAAAAGCTTTCCATAAAGTAAGAATTCATTACACTTTCATTTACAGTAGTTAGGCTTAAACTTGAGGGTTTAATATACCATAATTAATGTTATTATCCAAAGTTCAGTAATATAGTTGTTATTCAAAGGCACAACTGGGAAGTGAAGTTGGCCAAAGGGTGCCAACTTCCAATTATAAGTCAGTCTTGGGGATGCACCGTATGACATGATGACTATAGTTAACAATACTGTACTGTATATTTGGAAGTGCTAAGAGAGGTCTTAAAAGTTCTCTTAGTAAGAAAAAAAATCTTTTAAGTATATGAGGTGATGGATGTTAACTAAATTTACTGTGATTTTGCAATATATACCTATATCAAATTATGTCGTATACCCAAAACTTACACAATTGCTATATGTCAATCATCTCTCAATAAAACTGGGGGCAAAAAGCCAAAAAAAACCGCAAAGTGCAACTGTATCAAATGAAAAAACCATTTCAGGTCCATGCTTTAAACCATGGTCCACTAAATCGTGTATCGTAAGAAACTAGCATCCAAAACACTGGGATATAGAAATCAAAGAAAACCAAAAACCCATTTAATCCATGATTTTGAAAGCAATCCAGTTTATATTATTCAAGGAATCCCTTATTATCGTCACAAAAGGCTAAGACAAATGCTATAATATCAAAACAAAAACAAATTATTTACTTTTGAAGTAAATTGTTTGAAGTTTCCTATGATATCTGAAAAAGTACACTGGTTTATGAGAAAGACTATTATTACTTGTGGGTACCTCTAACCCCCCAAAAGGGCAGCTACTCAAAATTACCAGTAAACTTGCATATTGTACCAAGGTTTCACAGGTGGCATGTCCTTCACACTAAAGTAATACTTTTCCAGCTTTTCTCCAGTCATACGACTGGAGCCTAATGAGCTGCTCAAGTGATTATGAATTCAAGGGAGCAAGGGCGTTCCCATCCTACCTGCTTCACTCAGAGCAGCTTTAACTAGTACATTTATAAATGTTGGGATTCCATGACATTTCAGTTTAATAATACAGAAATATAACTGATGTAAAACTAATGTTAAGCACATCATAGCAGTAGGAAATATTCATACCTATACAAGGCTTAACATGCTGAAAGCAAGCTTTCGTCAGGTCACCTAACAGGGCGAAGGAACTCTGTCGAACTTCTGGCATTTTATCCTACAAGGAGTAAGAACAAATTAACCCCAATGTGACAAAGAGAATCAGGTCTTGATACATTTTAATTTAACAAGTCTCACCTGCATGCATTGATACATTAGCGTTAGAATGTTACTTCGGGCTACCAGCTGTTCAATGTTGCCTCCAAGTCCTTCAGCCAGGCCACTGAGTAAATCAAGAGCCACTATCATAAAATCTTTATCAGGAGCCTCATATTGATCTGGTTGAGCATTGTTCAGCTGAAATTAGACCAAAAGTTTTAAAAAACTTAGTCTGAATCAATTAGATTAAAAAATTTGTATACATTATGTCTATCCTTAGAAAAATGTTTACGATGCCAGGGACGATAGATATAAATATTTTTTAAAAATACCATGGCTTGTGCAAGAGTCTTCTGTACTAGGTTTACACAACGCTGGTACACAGGTTCACAGTATGGAAGGAAACCAGACTGCAGGGCTGTGGCAACTGAAGATAGGCACTAGAAAGAATAAAGTACAAATGTAAATTTCTGGATATACTTAAAATTATGATAAATGCTTAAGAGCGTACTCGGTAAGTTTCTGGTCATTTATGAGCCCGCTCTACTATTCTACAATAGTAGGTTATCTTTTCAGATCTCTCCTTTTTAGATGCCACCCACTGCCGTTAAGTTTACTGCTGGTAAAGGGAGGTTTCCTCAAAAAAGTTTCTGTAATGAACATTATCGTTAGAGAACCAGGTTAACTATTATGTGTGCTTATTTTTTCATCAAATATAAGAGATATTTGTTTATCCTCTCATCCTGCTCAACGATATGGGTGGACTTTTAGTGGGCATATTCTGAGCCCCTGCCTTAAAGTAAATTAATGATTTTTCTCGTTTTGTTGGGCCCAGAATCAGCCATTGCTTAGTCATAGAAGTTTTTACTTCTCTGGCTAGGGACAAACCATGGCAGAAGTGATGACCCCTGAAATGTCAGGGGAAACAAGAATGACGATGATTGAAATGGCTTTACCAGTATCAATTCATTTAAGTTATCATATTTGATTGCATGTTCAGTTATTTGAATAACATCAACTATCAAACCTCAACCTGGACAGAAAGGGTATGAAACAAAGTCCCTCCCTTACCAGCATCAAGACTCAATGCTACTTCACATTTGACTGTATGTGTCTATATACAATAGGTACAGAACACATTAAATAGTTGTGTGTGTGTGTGTGTGTGTATGTATATAACACATAACTGGAACTATATTGTCATGGTATAGCTATATGTATCTATATAAGGAAATGCAATTAAATATAGGACATATATATGCGGATATGGAAAGATCTCCAAGATAACTGATTATCACTGAAGCAGAGCAAAGCAGAGCAGGTGAGAAAACATGTAATATAATCCTTGGACAACCTTAAGAAAAACAAAACGAAACAAAACAAAACAAAAACCAACTTAACACATCCATTATAGTTTTTCTATTTAACAGTATTTCTTAGTATGGATGTACCATAATTAAGTAAGGGCAGTTACACACTTATTCAGCATTTTTGACAGAAATGGTTCAAAATGTACATCTATTAACATTTCCTTCTCACACATCCCCACATTTTATATTTACACGTGTTTTTGATGAAACACACTATTAGATTAACTAAAGGTTACCCAGCTTAGCATACCTCAAGTAAAGGGAAGAGATCTTTATCTTCATCCTTTAACATGTTCCATTTCTGGATCAGTGGAGGCATTAGCATCTGAATATATTCCTATTCGTGAAAAACACATAAAGCTCCACTATCATATGTAAACAAGTCCATTTTGGGTCTATGAAAATTAAAATCTGTTTAGAGTAATTGTGTAAAATCATTATTGAATGCATTTTAAGACTCAGTCTGCTCTACTTAGCACCTTTAAAATTTTCATTTTCTGCTTTTATATAACCTTGTTCTATTTTTAAGTCATCTTATATCCTTTTTGAAATAAAATGTATACAAATATACCACTACCCAAAAACTATTTGATCATAATCAGGGATAATTTGTTTAAGTTTTACTCTGAATTTTTTCAGTCCTGGAGCTTGTAACATGTAGTATGGTCCTTGCTGTATACTATGTTATAAACGACAGGTAAACTTAGAGAGGCATTTGCATAAGAACAGTCACAATCATTTAAGTGTCTTTATTTAAACTTTAGAATCCATAAATACTAAATAAATAGTAATCATGTAAACAAGGGGCACAGATTCCAAAGGGTCTAACATTCAGAAAAACACTCCCCAACTCCTGCCCACAAAACAAAACCAACATTGAAGCAAACCCACAAAGTGTCCTGCACCAACTTTTAGGTATAACTTCTATACATAATTTTTAAAAGACTTTTCATATAGCAATTATAAACATGTAATCTATTCTTCTGCTGGGAATTTTGAGCCTGAAATTCTATTATTTAAATCCTATTTAAACAAAGCCAATTCCACCATCCTCTTTTTAACTCTACTAAAAACAGTTTGGATCCTTAGCCATACCACTATTTAGCAATTCTAACTAATTATTATCCCAATTTCTGTCTTATCTTAGTGTATATTCCCCATACTTCTAAGTTCCAGTGAGAAAACAAAAATGTCTAGATGTGGTACTCTAAAACTTTAGTATTTATGAAGTGGTAGATAAATACCTGGAATTAAGTAAAAGCTGAAACCCACATGTAAGACGTTTATCATCCCTTTTCTCAAAAGTGTTGGTGCATTCATGTGATATGCTGATACGATTTCCACACCAAGAACTTATTTACTTTTAATATTATCTAAGTAAATATACTTGCTGATATCTTAAGATCTATATTATTAAAGTAGCCCACACTAAGTGTTCACATCTCCCCAATTTCATTTCTAAATATATGTTAACCTTTTGATTATAAATATGGTACACATTCTTTTCTTTTTTTTTTTTTAAAGATTTTATTTATTTACTTTTATTTACTTGAGAGAGAGAGAATGGGAGATAGCACGAGAGGGAAGAGGGTCAGAGGGAGAAGCAGACTCCCTGCTGAGCAGGGAGCCCGATGTGGGACTCGATCCCGGGACTCCAGGATCATGACCTGAGCTGAAGGCAGTCGCTTAACCAACTGAGCCACCCAGGCGCCCGGTACATATTCTTTTCTTAATAGTTAATCACAGATACTCACTGGTTTGTTTAAATGATGTCCTACTGAATCTGCTAAAGTTCCTATGGCATCATAAAGAATGAGCAGGTTCTTATGCTGGTATTTACTAAACGCGAAGACCAAGGTATCAAGTATATAAGCAAGGTAAGGAACAAGTTCCGTACAAGCCTCCTCTTCTAAGGTAGCAAAGGCACTACAGTTAAAAAAAACAAACAAACAAACAAACACAGAGAGAGAGATTATTACTGCTGTAGTTTATGACAGAGATAGGAAAATAAGTCTATAGAACATTTACACTTTATATGCCTATCTCCTTACCTCACCATACCAGAGGCTTATTTTTATTATTTTTATTATTTCTTCCCTATTTCTTTCAAAGAGGCTGTCTGTCACCTATGGGCCTTTGCTTCACCACAGTAGTAAAATCTAAAACTGTTGTTGGTTCTTATATCAGTCACTCAACAAATTTAGCATAGTGTCATGACCTCCGAAATGTTTCTCTTAGCTGGAGGGGGAAATGGGATGATGCAGGTGGTCAAAGGGCACAAATTTGCAGTTATAAGAATAAATTCTTAAGATCTAAAGTACAGCATGAGGACTATAATTAATAATGCAGTGTTGTATACTTGAAAGTTGCTGAACGTAGATCTTAACCATTCTCACCACACAAAAAGACTTAAACTTATGTCAACTATGTGAGGTGATGGATGTCTTAATGATCTTGATCTTGCTAACTGTTCCATAATGTATTATGTTTATCAAGTCATCACATTGTACATTTTAAATATATGGATTATTTTTGTCAATTTTTCTTCAATAAAGCTTAAAAATGTTGGTCTAAAGTTCTACACCATACATTAGAATGCACAGTGTGTTTGTTATTACAGATTTGCCTTATGTGTGGCTTACCTACTAAGACAAATATACACAAAAGGCAAACACTCCAGAGTCTGAGTAGTTTATTCAATTTAGGCCTAAATTTGTCTGGACTCTAAGGTGTACCTGGCTTTTTTTTTTTTTTTAAGATTTTATTTATTTATTTGAGAGAGAGAGAATGAGAGACAGAGAGCACGAGAGGGAAGAGGGTCAGAGGGAGAAGCAGACTCCCTGCTGAGCAGGGAGCCTGATGTGGGACTCGATCCCGGGACTCCAGGATCATGACCTGAGCCGAAGGCAGTCGCTTAACTGACTGAGCCACCCAGGCGCCCTGTACCTGGCTTTTCATTTCTAAAATTAAGGTTTGTATTATTTTCTATTCTACCCACTCACAGCAATTTCCTAAAACATTAAGCCATTCGTTAGTGAAAGCCTGTGGTCTTAAATTGTGAACTATGTATGTATAACCTTCACAGCACTTGCCATGAATTATGATTATATAGTTGTTTAGTATTCTATACTAGCCTCTAAGTTTAAAGATGGCAGGGACTGTAAACACAGCATTTAATATATGCCTAACGACTAATAGTTAAAAAAAAATCTGCAGGAAACCAAACATAATCTGTACCCGCCCCTCATTAAAAAAACAAAAAATGTAGTGCTAGTAAGACCAAAACCCTTTTGGTTCAACGTTCTTTCAATCAGAATGCTTTCAGATATTTTTGCTTCCCATCTGGTAAAGTACAACTCCACTTAAATTTATTTTCCTCTTTTTCAACAGCTATTTCTTATTAACAAAGTCAACAGTAAAGCAATTCTAATTAAAAAGTTAAGAGCTATAAATGTGTAAGGCCTTTTTAGAACACAAAGGTTTGTTCCAGAAAACTGGAATATTTATAGTAATGAAACTAACTGCTGATCTGATATAAAAACACAGCCCCAAACCCAAACGACAGAGCAGCTACTGGAGTGGATTCACTAAGTGAAAGATGGTAAGTCACTGTAGGACTTTCTATGGAGTTGTGGTAGCTGACCTTTAAACTAATAATGTGAATCTGCTCAAACTTCGTTATTCCTTCAAGAGCAAGACCCCCACTATCACCATTCCAGATGTCTGCGAGAATTAGGATGAAAGAGAATTCTACTGTTACCATAGCCACAGAGAAAAAAAATGAGTTGAAGGAACAGCAAAGACTGACACCTAGTTGACTCACACTTTGATTTACAGAATCATCAGATAAAAACTACAGGTAATAAAAGCTCCACTAATCGTTTAATACCAACATTCCACAACAAAGCTAAAAGTTATTTTCTCACTGAAATACCCACTCCCTTTCCCCACAATCAACAATGTTATGGATTTGTCCCACCTGCAGGCAGCTTCTTGTACTCTCTTGTTGCTGTCCAGGATTCGCTTTAGCAATTCTGTCATTAATGGCTTCAGGTACGTATCGGGGGGCTGGCTGACTACCCAGTGTGCATAGCGGCTAAGAGTCCAGCACGTTATGGAACGCACAAGAGCCTTTTTATCAGAGAGGCACTGAATAAGGTGAGGAATGAGCTCAGGCAGGTATGGAATCATGCCTTGCATACAACCTGGAAAAAAAAAGTAACAAATCTCTCAGAAAGTGTAAAAATTCATTTAAAACAAAATTATTTCAGTTGAATACTAAACTGATAAATGCAGTCATGAAAAATATTCAGATCAAAAAAATAGAAAACACATTGAGATCCTCTCCACTGCAATAAATAGTCTCTAATAATCTGTTCCAAAATTTAAAAAAAGAAATGAAAGCTACTTGCTCCTAGGTCTTCTGGTAGGGTTAGGAAAACTTATTTTACTTCTGCTACACAAATTACGGCTTTCAGAAGTGCCTACAAAATACTCTTGTAAATACAGGCCTATCCTATCTCCAAGACACAGTAACCTTTAGGGGGGTTAATGAGGCTCCTACCATGTTTCTTGCACTTACCAATGGAGAAAATTATTTTTCTAGCAATGGGGATGCTTCTGACATCAGTCTTCTCATTGTGCTCCTTTTATTGTAACAGAAGCATTTATAAAATATCTCGGTGGGGTTAGAAATAAGCCTATGGCTGTTTAATAATAGTTAACTGGTTCAAGGTAAAAACTTATCCTAGGATGGCTTTTTTCTTTTTTTAAATTGCATTCTTTTACTGTGAGTGAGGTTGAGCATCTTTTCATGTGTTTAAGGGCTATTTGTCTTTCCATTTTTGTTAGTTATCTGTTCATATCATTTGTTAATGCTGCTATTAGGTATCTTTCTTCCCAGTTCATTCCTTTTATTTTTTTAAAATTTAAATTCAATTAACATATAATGTATTATTAGTTTCAGAGGTAGAGGTCAGTGATTCATCAGTCGTATAGAATACTGGTGCTCATTTTATCACGTGCCCTCCTTAATGTCCATCATCCAGTTATCCCATCCCCCAACCCCCCCTCCCCTCCAGCAACCCTGTTTGTCTCCTATGATTAAGAGTCATAGGACTTATGGTTCGTCTCCGTCTCTGATTTTGCTAAGACGGCTTTTGAATTTAAACATCTTTTTTAAGGTTAATATAGATCATAGTGTCATCTATTCCACATCAGCAACACAAAAGCAAAAAAGTGTATGAATTCCAGACTGAATAACAAAGCTTATTAGAGTAACATTCCTTAAAGTGGTCCATCTGCATTAGGGCCTATTAAGGACTTCACAGTTCAGTTTTGACCTAGACTTACCTTCAGCAATTGCTCCTAAAACCAAGATGCCGGATTCTTTAACAACCCATTCATGATGAAAAAGTAATTCTTTCAAAAGGGGCAAAATGTGTGGCAAAAGCTCATCACGATACACATTTGCAAGAACATCTAGGGCAGCAGCAGAACATTTTCCTGAAGAATATTTAATTCAAAATATTACATTAAACTCTTATTATCATAACCCTATTATCATATGTTACAACACTTCATTCATACATCTAGAGTTTCAAAGAATTCAATTAAATAGGAGGCAGTCTGTCTCTATCAACAAGAAATATTTTATGACCAAGAATTAGCAAACTAATTATGAAGATATTCTATTCTGTACATGACTGTCACACTAGGATTCTTTTGTCTATACAGAAAAATCAAAACACTGTTCCACTCAATTTAATGCTTCTAGGATATGAGGCCCACTTCTACAAACCTGCAGTAAAATGTATACATTTATTATTTCTACTTAACATTCTTAGTGATAGATCATTCCAAATCAAATACGTAATGACTCAGCAGGAGGTTAGGCAAATAAATCTCACCAAGTCACCGGCACATGAAGCATTAAGTAGGCCAGAAAACATTCCTTCCAGATAAAGGAACTATTAGCCATGGAACTATGTATCAATTCAGATTTCATTTAATGTAATAATTAAGAAAACAAAAATTTTAAACAAAGATATAATCAAGTCTAAAAATTTTTCCCAATGGGATTAGACATACTAAACAGTTGAATACAAATCATTAAACAATATTAAAATCCTTTTTGAAAAAAGGCTGTTCAATTGGCTAGAAGTAACACCTTACTCATCCGTAAGGGTCTTAGTTATACTGTATGGTAGATCCATATAAATGAGTACTATACTACCATGAAAAACAAAGAAATCTTTATGTACTGATACAGAATGAGTTAAGTTATATGATAAATGGAAAAGAACCAACAGAATACATTTAATCTCATTTCACTGCTGGGAA